GTTGTTCCAACTCACCCAGTGGCTGTGCAAAGGAGGGCCTGACAGTCAGCTTCCTTAAAGTATTACAGCTAAGAAAACCCTATGGAGCAGTTCTATTCTACTCTGTAACACCATGAGTCCGAATCGGACTCAACAGCAGCAAGTTTGGTTTTGAATAGGATACTCAGGTGAGCTGTCCAGAAGTAGTTGGCCTACAACTAGAGATTTGAGAGGCATCAATATATACACTCAGGAAGGATATGTAGAATGAAAACAGGGCAAGGGTGGCAATCCAAGGTAAAGACACCAATATTTAAGGGATGGCAGTAGAAGAAGGTGCCTTGGTGGTTCAGTGATTGTGGTTGTTAATTTGATTCCATATGTTGTTAGGTGCCCATAAAGCTGTACTAACTCAGCAACCCAATGTACAACAGAATAAAACAGCACCTGGTCCTGCGCCATTCTCACAGTCCTTGTTATTCTTGAGCCCATTGTTGCAACCACTATGTTAATCCATGTCATTGAGGGTCTTCCTCTTTTTCACTGACTTTACCAAGCATGAAACCCTCCTCCAGGGACTGTCCCTTCTGACAGCATGACCAGAGTACTAGAGGAGAAGTGTTGCCATCGGCACTTCTAAGAAGCATTTCTCCTGTACTTCATCCAGGACACAGTGTTCGTTCTTGCAGTCCATGGTGTATTCAATATTCTTCACCAACACCACAATTCAAATGTGTGAATCTTTGGTCTTCCTTATTCATTGTCCACCTTTCACACACATGTAAGACTGTTGAAAATACTGTGGCTTGGGTCAGGTGCACTGTTGTGGCTACCTAGTGCTGCTCTGACAGGACCATATCACAAATGGGATGGCTTTAACAGACAGGAGTTTATTATCTTGACAGTTTGGCGGCTTTAAGTCCAAGTTCAAAGTGCCAGACTCTAGGGTTTGGGTGAAAGCCCCTCAACATTGGGCTTCAGCTCTGCCTCCTGCTCCCGGCCCACTGAAGCTGGAGGCTTTTCTTCACTCACATAGCTGCTGGCTGCTGAGGCTGACAAACCCAAAGTTGACAAGTAAAAAGGCCAAGTGCCAATGTTACCTAATGACACAGCAGGTCATTGATTCAAGTCCATTGAAACTCCCAAGATCGGCAGAGCACAGTAGCTGCTGAACATGACTCCACTACATGCAAGGATCAAGTGTGCCGGTAAATTGGAGACCTTCCTCAACGTTGCTTCTTACATACTCAAAGCAGCCCACATCCCTAAAGCAGCTACTCAGCTGCTCTGGTAGATTCCACCATGG